TTCTTCTTCTTCTTCTTCTTCTTCTTCTTCTTCTTCTTCTTCTTCTTCTTCTTCTTCTTCTTCTTCTTCTTCTTCTTCTTCTTCTTCCAGCTCTATATGACTCTATGATTCTATGAAACCCAGGTTCGAATCCTCACTCATGCCATGGATGCTCGCTGAGTGACCTTGGGCCACTCACACTCTTTTAGCCTGGCCCACCTCGCAGGGTTGTTGTGAGGATAAAATGGAGGGAAGTAGAATGATGTAAGCCACTGAAGGTTCCCTTTGGGGAGAAAGGCGGGGTATAAATGAATTGAATCAGTCAGTAAATAGCTCTGGGGCACTGGTTCTTTTTTGGTTGGGTTTTTGTGTGTGTATTTTTCCATGTGTGCATGTGTGGGTGAGTGTGCGCGCACCTGGAAGTCACGGTGACCTCTGGTGACTGACCCCTACTGGGGGCCTGGATGATATTCAGAGAGGAGGCTGAATAAAGCCTGCCCCCGCCTCTCGACTACCGGTATTTCAAGGGCGTCTCCCATCCAAGTACTTGCCAGAGTTGACCCTGCTTAGCTTCCAAGATCAGACGAGATTGGGCTTGCCTGGGGCTATCCAGGCCAGGGCTGGTGCATTGGTTCTTAAATCTTGGCCTTTAAATCTTGGTCACACAGGCCAGATAACACGGGGGGGGGGAGGCGTGGCTGTTTGCCCCGGAGCAAAATAAAGTGCGGTAACCCGATCACACGGTCCCCCGAGTCTCCGTGCTTAGGCTGTTAGCTGGTGATCACACGGCGATGCTGCAGCGTGACAAAGAAGCAGTGCAACATGTTCACACAAGCGTTTCGCGTTTGTGTGCATGTGCAGTTGTGTGGGAGCAGCACTGCTTTCAGTTATGTATTTGTGCACATGCGCTTACGAAAAACATCCGGTTTGCGACGGGACGTGGATGGCCGCCGGATGCCACAGGATACCAGTGCTCCCATGATCAGTCGCCCGCCCCTGCCCCGCGTTTTTTGGATACTAGTGCAGTTTCCAAGGTCGTTTTTTACTGCACATCTTCGGCGGGATGCCACGGGTTGGCCATGGGTGTGCTACATTTCCCAGATGTTGCGGTGTGATTGCACACTGAAAATCTGCTTGATATTCGTATCTTTAGCGCGGCAACTTCTCCATGTGAACGGAGCCCTTGCTCCGCTAATGCATCCTTCCAGAGGGAGGCAAAATTAGGTTTGCACGAATCTGACCCATTGACAGAGCCCGATTTTGCAGTTCTAATATTCAGCAGAGGATTTCTGAGCATTTTCCAGGTTGTCATTTCAATGAACATCGCTGAGTCCTTACTTGAAGCAAAATGATATCCAGTTGCACTGCACCATGAGCTTTATAGTTTTAAGGCTTTGTAAGCAGTGAGTTGTTTAAGGATTACGGGTTGTTTTCTTGCAAGAACGGAATGGTGCTAAAGGTGGGGTATAATCCTCATTTTGTTTCAGAAAGTGACAAAAAGTTCAAACTCACAAAATGTGTGTGGGTGTAAGCTCATCTACCCAACAGTCTCTAAGCGCAGCTTGGGGCGAACCCAGATTTAGGGCTTTTCTAAAATGCAGAAAACGAAGGCGAGACGGTTCATCGGTGACCTTTTACTTCAAGAACAGGCTTCTGGTTCCAATTAACACATTTCTTTTAAAAAGCTGCTGATAAAAGATGATCAAATTCAAGTTCAGCACATTTTTAAAAAATGCTCTCCTCACCCAATGGCATTTTATAGGGATGTTAGGAAAGGAACTATCAGCATAAGGCCAAAATTACAGTCATTGCATCTCTGACGAAGGTGTACAATCTGCTTTATACTGTGTCAGATCACTGATCCAGCTTGCTCACTATGGTCAGCTCAGCTACAGCTCTCCAGAGCAGGGGTGTCGAACTCATTTGTTATGAGGGCCGGAGAC